CTTTACTTCTTTATTTACTGTTCTATGCTTTAAGGAAAATAAGTTTAAGAACTTATTTCAAAATGGGAATAATCTATATAAATATATAATCTATAATAATTGAAATTATAATAATTGACTATTTTTCCAAATACTAGTCTACTAAAAAACAGCGAAGACAAGTTACTCTGTACTGACCAAAATTCAGTTTTGTTATTTGATATGGTAACATGAGTGCAAGTGTGGCGCATCATTGTAACTTCTCAATTGTTAGCCAAAAATGGCTCAAAGGTCAATATAATGAAAATATTAAATATATATATAAAAGTGTAATGCTATGAGATTTAATCTCTTTAGTCTAAACAGTTATGTCTTCATGTTATAATCTGTGTTCATTCTAGAATGAAAGAGGCATAATTGATATTTATTTCCAAATTTTTATAGTGGTTGTGAGATTGGTCAAATCTACTGAACCCTTACAGAGATTAATTACTGAAAATAATAGATAAAATATAAAGTTTTTTCTTAAGAAATGTTTGATAACTGTCATAATGTTTGATAACATTATAATGATTTTGCATGTGAAATGTGAAAATTTTCTGATGCATAAAAGTATTTCTAATCTTAAAACAAAAATTACTTTGTATGATATATAAGTAACATGTGAAAAGTAAAAAAGGCACAAGAAAAACATTGCTTTATAAACCTTAAGACTTAATAAAAAAAATTAAATATTTTGCATATGAAAACATTGTATTGTTTACTGATAATCTGCCAAATTTCATTAATATTCGCTTACTAATTTCAAAGTTATAGCATGAAAGAGTTAATTATGAAAAACTCAAGCATACTGCTAAATTAAAACAGGTGAAATTCCCACTATTTTGTTGAGATTAATACAAAACATTAATATTCTAAACATATAGACTTACTATCAGTTATTGTGAAAGTTTCTTCTTCATTTTTCATCGGTTTGATATCCAACAAAACATTCTGCTTCTCATCAGAAAATGGTTCTACCTCCATCTTTAATACTCCAATGATTATACAAAAGCATCACCTGTATATTCTGTAAAAAAAGTTTCACAGTAAGACTAAAGAGAAATAACTTAAGAATCAGAAGTTGACCTGACAAGGATTAGTATAAAATTTTTAAATATAAATTCACATTATCTTGATAACTTTCATTTCAAGTTATAAGCTTTATCTTTTTACATATTTATATTAAAACAGTCACATTATCTGAAATAAAATGACTTTAATACAAAATGAGTAGTAAAACACTCAGAAAACATTTACCAACAATTTCTAAACATGTAATGATTGAGGATTAGAATATTACCCTATTGATTAGATTAGATACACTTCACATGTACCAAAACATGGAAAAATAGAACTATTTTAATTCAGGAGTTGAATTACTAACTTTCAGTCTTTCCACAAATACCAAATGATTTTCTAGATGTTTACATAATTTCAACAAGATACATTATAATACATTGTCGATAAAGCAGTACTACCCACTACAGATATACGATACACTTGACTGGAAGTCACATGATTTTTGGCATGCCTGTGGTAATAGCACCCAAAAGTGTTGGGGATACCCCACCTATCAAACAAAATCCAAAAAGCAGATGAGAAACCAGTCAGCAGTTGTGGAAAATCTGTTAAGTGCACAGAGTTCAATACTTACATCCATAACGTCTCAATTCTTACTGCCTGCAATGTCTACAGTCAGTCACACTTAGAAAGATGTAATAAAGTTAAAAGTAGAAATAAGATAAAATCAAGGCACCCAAAAAATATACATTTCTACTAAACAATGTCTACCATCCTCCACCCTTTTCTGAAAATGACTTATTAAAAAAAAGATCTTAAAAGAATTACAAGACTTACTTTAAGTAGTTTACATTGTCACATTATTTAAGAATAGCACTGGATAGCTGAAACAAGCCCACATAGTTGAAGTTAGTCTTTCTAATTCCAGCTATAATGAATAAATTTAACTTACATATTAAAAGTAGCAAACTACATCTAGTGACAAAAAAGGTTTTTTCCTCATTGAATATTTATATAATAAAATATTTTAAATATTATTATAAAAAAAAATTATTTGCCAGTATTTACATCCATTATTTTCTAATTTAGTTATGAATAATGTTACGTCTCTGGTCGTTTGTTAATTTTCCGTATAATTTCTTTCGTATGAAACTTTAGCGATACAAGTCCTTTCTTAAATATAACTAGTTTATTCTTTCTCAATACAACTTTGCAAACACTTAATTTCCACAGTCACTTTAACTAACACACGTAATAATTCAAAACGAACGACTCACGCGCATGACTCAATTGTCAGTCTTTACCTCTGTCTGCAATTCAATTTCGATTGATTGTCTCACGTTATCCAGAGCACTTATATATACAGGAATAGAGGGCGCCTAGCACATACTGGATTATTCCTGATGTTCCCCGATCCTTCGAGAATATCATGACGTGTTACCGGGGTCACGTGACTACCGCTGTCGTAACACTGCACCTTCTTTAGTATTGTTAAGTCTCCGTTCGTTAGTTAATTTTCCGTAAAAAATATTTCCAAAGAAACTTTACCGATACAAGTCCTTTCTTAAATAAAACTGGTTTAATCTTTCTCAATACAACTTTGTAATACACTTAATTTCCACAGTCGGGCTATAACAAATGCTATAATTCACAACAAACGCCTTATGTGCTCGACTCCACAATATGTCTCTCTCTGTCCGCAGTTCAATTACATTGTTGCCGTCAGTTCTTACCAGTGTTATATATACAAGACTACCACATATCTAGTAGCCTCTCGAAACTTCAGGAAGCGTATCTAATTCACTTTTAAATTTACCAATGTTTTCCATTTGTACTTCTTGCCATTGTTGTTGATTTTCCTGTAGTTGCTGCTGACTTTCCTGCAATTGTTGGAGACTTTCTTCCTGTTTCCTTTCTTGTTCTAGTTGCCACTGTTGTAGTCTCTCTTCTTGTTTCTTTTCTCGTTCTTCCTGTTGCTTTTCTTTTTCCTCCAACAACTGCTGTAATTTCTCTTCTTGTTTATTTCTTTCTCCTCCAACCACTGCTGTAATCTCTCTTGTTTATTTTGTTTTTCGAGCTGCCACTGTTGCAGGTTTTCTTGCCACTGCTGTTGTCTCTCTTCTTGTTTCTTTTCTTTTTCCTCCAACAACTGCTGTAATCTCTCTTCTTCTTTATTTTGCTGTTCGAGCTGCCACTGTTGCAGGTTTTCTTGCAACTGCTGTTGTCTCTCTTCTTGTTTCTTTTCTTTTCCTCCAACAACTGCTGTAATCTCTCTTCTTCTTTATTTTGCTGTTCGAGCTGCCACTGTTGCAGGTTTTCTTGCAACTGCTGTTGTCTCTCTTCTTGTTTATTTTCTCGTTCTTCTTGTTTTTTTTCTTTTTCCTCCAACAACTGCTGTAATTTCTCTTCTCGTTCTTTTTGTTTCTTTTGCTGTTCTTATATTGCTGCCATCAAATCTGCCAAGTCGTAGTTTGATACCACTTCTTGTTTCCATCTTTTTTTTACTCGTCCCACTGTCTGACACCAATTTGTTATGTATCTGCTTGTTTGTTTGTTTCTGGTAGAAATATTTTCCGAGGACCTTCAGTGATACAAGTCCTTTCTTGATTAAACCAGTTTATTCTTCATCGATACAAACTTTTAGTACACAGTAGTTCCACAATCAGTACGTTTCTCGTCACCTTAAACTTAACAACTTTTATAATACACGCCATAAATCACAGCGATTCACAATCTCGATAATTTCGCTCTCGACGAGTGCAAAACACACACTTTACGGCTCACTAGCTCGAAACTAACAGAATCATAAATTACACAGAACTCAAAAATAACTATTGCTCTCACTTCTTTCATTCCCGCTGGCTTTCACTGCCAGGCTTATATACTAACGAAGAGGCATCTCCAACATTCTCGGACTTCCCCGATAATTCGAGAAACTCCTCACGCACGCGCCAGTAGTTTCACGTGAGTTCCGCTGTCGTTACAGTCAGTTATCTATAACTATACAAGGGCTTTCACGCATCCTAACCACCTGGTTATGCCAATATGAAATACAACTTAGTTACTAAGCTTGATAAATTATAGTGAAATTCTATGATATCGATATAGTAATTTATTATTTTTTGATTATTCAACTGTATGCATAAAACCTAAAAAAATTATTTCATTTCATATCCTCCACGTGCGAAATTTTAAAAGGCTTAGCACAAATGTCGTAAATAGAAGAAATAGTTGTTTGCTTCTATGTTTTAAGAAAAATAAGTTTAATAACGTATTTCTAAATAATAATAATCTATATACATACATAATCTATAATAACTGAAATCTAACTCAACTTACCAGTATCCAGATGCCAAATCTAATCCTTGGGAACCTTCCAATGTGTCCAGACAGTCTTCAGTTTGCAGTAATGGAATTTGTTTGTTTTTTGTAGTTAAGCACAAAGCTACACAATGGGCTATCTGTGCTCTGCCCACCACGAGTACCAAAACCCGGATTCTAGCATTGTAAGTCCGCAGACATACCACTGTGCCACTGGGGGGCATTTTACTAAATACTAGTCTACTAAAACACAGCCAAGGCAGGGTCTCTTTGTAGAGACTACAAATCAATTTTATATTATTGGATATCATAACATGAGTGCATGTGCGCCCGGTCATTGCAACTTCTGTAATGATAACCAGGCATGACGGAAAGGTCAATATAATAAAAATTATAAATATATATATAAATGTATAATGTTATTAGATTTATGCTATTTAGTCTAAACATTTATGTTTTTGTGTTGTAATTTGTAGTCATTCTAGAAAGAAAGAAGCATAATTTATATTTATTTCCTAAATTTTTATGTTGGTTACGAGATCGGTCAAATCTGTCGAACATGTAGAGATTCTTATTGAAAATAACAGATAAAATATAAAGTTCTTCCTTATGAAACATTTTATAACTATCTGGACATTATAAAGATTTCGCAAGTGAAATTTAAAAATTTTCTGATATATAAAATATTTTTAATCTTAAAATTAAAATTACTTTGCATGTTGGATAGGTAACTTGTGAAAAGAAAAAAAAATGGTATGAGAAAAACATTGTTTAACAAACCTTAAGAATTAATTTTAAAAATTGATATTTTGCGTATGAAAGTATTGTAATGTTATTTGATAATCTGCCAAATTTCCTTAACATTTGCTTACTAATTTAAAAGTTATAGCATGAAAACTATAACAAGCACAAAATAGTTAAATATTAGGATTACTATATAAGGTTAAGTTAATCTTGATTGTAAGAAGTTCAGCTATTAGTATTGTTAAAATTGTAATGGCCCAGTTACAACAGTTCTCTGTAATAAAATTGCTTTTAGACACAAGGGATGAAAACTATTGCCATGATCATGTGATATTTCTACAAACGTTATGTGTAATCACATGTATAGCACCAGTAGGCAACACATTCCCTGTACTTGTGGATGTCCCAGTCCCCAAGCGTCATTGGGTCTCACACTTGACCAGTACTTAGCTGTGCTGTTCACTGCTGCTAACGTAGTTGCACTGGAACCCAACAACATTTGCTTCATTATCGTCTGGCTGTTATACAAACAAAGTCCGGAAAGAAAGAAATAGGAGATTCTAGACACTGGTTCCTACACAAATAACCAAAAACTGGCTAGACATCATATAAGCACTAATCTCTAGCTTTTGACCATTAGAATTCATTAACACTGATATCTCACTTCCTATTAGAATCCTTTGAGATAGATTTTGTTTTGGAATTTCGCGCAAAGCTACACGAGGGCTATCTGCGCTAGCCATCCCTAATTTAGCAGTGAAAGACTAGAGGGAAGGCAGCTAGTCATCACCACCCACCGCCAACTCTTGGACTACTCTTTTACCAACGAATAGTGGGATTGACCTGAAAGGGCGAGCATGTTTGGTGTGACGGGTATTCGAACCCGCGACCCTCAGATTGCGAGTCGAGCACCCTAACCACCTGGCCATGCCGTTTGAGATAGAAGTTTAAAACAAACCAGAGGGCCCGGCATGGCCAGGTGGTTACGACACTCGACTCGCAATCTGAGGGTCGCGGGTTCGAATCCCCGTCACACCAAACATGCTCGACCTTTCAGCCGTGGGGGCGTTATATATCGGATAGCCCTCGTGTAGCTTTGCGCGAAATTCAAAAAACAAACAAACCAAAGATGACTAATAAAGCATCAACATGTTATTACTTTCAGCCTCCAACCGTACATTCATACTTTGAATTTACATGCATTTTAACTTTATATTCAGTAAAATTGTTACTTTAATAATATTTTAATCTACACATTTTAAAATGTTCAATTATAACCAACTAATATACCTGGCACATTAAGCTTACAATTGGTATGATACACAAGCTACTATTTGTGGATTTAAATTTTACAGATAATTTCATCCACTCAAAAATATTGTTGCGTCATCGAGGTCATGTGATTCTCACGCTCTCTACTTTCTAG